CACACTCTAGATATTTTAACCTCCATTTGATCCTTACACAAATGCACCATGCACCATATAATGCATATGTGTTTCAAGTCTTAAAATAGTGCAACTTGTAACATATTATTTGTGACGTCAATTTTTTAGATTTCCAAATTTTATAGATCTGCTTGATCTATAATATTTGTGGAGATTTGAAATTCGTAATTATGGTTGAAAATAGGCTTTTAGGTCTGTCTTTGTCTTACTCTATTATTTAAAATTGACACCTTACACAAATCACAGCCCAAAATATTTTAACCTCTCATCTCCCCATCTATTTATTTTTGTCTCTCTCCCCCCTCAATCTCGCTATTGATGCATTGTTGTACAGTTCCAACCATGTGCAATGCATGGTTGCCTTTTAGTATACTTACCAATTAATATGATACTATTCAATAGTATTTTTCTTTAAAGACATGGCCCACAACCGTGTTGTGTCTTCCTCTCATTGATAAGGACACCAAATTTTAGAGAGGGAAAATGTTAGCATAGTAGAAAGAAATAAATGTTGTTCGCGTGATGACAAAGCATCACTATCTCTTACCTAATAATTTCGGATCCGGTAAAAGAAATGGATTTCAGACTCTAAAAATGATATATCGTATAACGTATTATCTGAATCGCTTATTTTCACGTGTTTATAGATTAATTTGACTTGTATACTTTTTTTAACATCAAATTTTATAGCTAGGATGATCTTAGAAGGGTGAGGACTATAAACTTTCATTTAACCCATCTCTGGGTAAATGAGGTGAGTTGTGTCAGATAGATAGCCGACATAAGACCTGGCATAAGTGTGCCTCCTCAACTTTTTGTACCATCATAAATATGATGTTGGCATTTATCTATAACTAGTTTCATGCACATGGGATGCACGTTTTTTATTTTTAGTGTTGGGTGGGATTTCTTTAAGGCCTAGGTTTTATGAAAATAAAATAAAGTCTCACTTCAAAATCCTTGTCCAAAAAGTACTTTCAGCAATAGAAATATCCATGATGGCGTTAAAATCAATTTCCAATATCGATAATGAAATTTGAAACTAAAAAAGTAGTACAGATCTTGTAGATTTATGAACACTTAGTTTTGGGTAAAATGAATGGTCTAGATAATTTGTTACAATATACACTATTTTTAGAGCTTGAGATCCTCTTTTTTTTCACAACTATAATGTTTAAGCCAAGATGATAGGTATAAAAGTTCTCTAATGCTTGAATTACGATTTTTAATGAGTTAGGAGGAGAGGCTTTACTTAATTTGATAAGAAGGCTTTCTAACCATTGAATTGCAATTTTTAATGTGCGAATGGAAGACCACTCATTATAGCGTCCTGCTACCTCCAGACCACCTAATTTTGATCTGATTCTACATTTTTTTTTGGTGCTTATTTGTTCAATGTTTTTCTCATGGGTGGCGTTTCTAAGCGTTGGCTGACTCATATATTCATTTGTGTTCCCTTCTAATATTCATCTTAAAGATGGATTTTGGATTTAAATCTTTAGGGACCCATAATCTATACAATGGTGATCATAAATATAAAAATAAGTGAATTTTGAAATACAAAAATAGGTCTTTTTTTATGAGATATTTTCCACCCCTAAATTTAGATTTTGGCACACTTTTTTTTTACATCCATATTAAAGATGGACGTTTGATGGTCAGGGTTTCGTGTGTCCCCTGACTCACCAAGTACCTTTCCTTTTCTTATCACGATGCCCTTCATGCTTTCCTAAAGAACAAGTATCTGGTGAGTCCGCTGCCTCATATTCATGGATTTGTAATTCCACATAATAATTATTGAAGAATTAAATTGGGCTATCCAAAAAAAAGCACAAACATAATTATTTTTAAGTCTTCAAATTTCAATTTTTTAAGATTCATCATTGTAGTGATTCACATGGTAGACTTGTAAAATTTGAATCCAAAATTCCTCCATAATTTGAATTTGGGCAAGGTGAACTTACTGCATAAAATTTTGGATCCAAATTCCATGTTTAAGATGAATTTCTTAGATCCATCTTTATTCCACCTTGAAATCAATTTTCAGAAAATAATTTAGTTCATATTTTAGTCAGGGAAGAGAGATTGATTTCAGGCACTTAATACACTTCGAAATCATTTCGTGATCTGGATATTTTGAAATTAAATAAGGAAAAATATTTGGTGAGTCAGCGGATTCACGCATTTGCTTGCATCCCTCTCTAAAGTCCATCTAAAGATGGATTTTGAATGCTAATCTCGATGATCATGTACGCTAATCTCGATGATCATGTATTTGAATTTTTTTTTTTGAAGAATAAATAGTATTTTTAAACTTTTTTCCTATACCATTTTGACTTTAATTCGGGCACCCTATATGAATGTTTGATGCATGAGAAGATGATCAAAACTAGGTGAGTCGGCTGACTCACCAAAATCGTGTCCATTACATAAAAATTGTGGATAAAACGGTAAATAACTTATTTCTCAACAATATTTTAATCGTTGTTTTTTTTTTTTTTTTAATTTACAGGGCACTATGTTATGTTCCTTTGGGAGAATAATTTATTTCTACTCCCTCGGTCAAACGGCTTTTGTGATTTTTTTTGAGTCTGAAATTTTTGGAACCACTTAAAAATCAATAGATAACTATTCTCAAAAGAAAAAAAAAAATTAAAATTTGAGTTTTCTCACGCTTAAATCTCACTATCAAAAAATTGGATGGTCTCTATTCATTCTTGAGACATTATTATTTTTTAAGTGCATAGAGAGTACAATTTTTATTATTAAGGCTAATCATGGGTTAAAAAGGGTACATCCAAAAATTTTGGAGTCCTAAAATTGATTCTAGATAGGCTTTTACCCAAGGGAGTAATAGACAATATGCTCGCGGGAGTATCATATCGGCTTGTTGTAAAGGGAAAGGTTTATGCACTTCTCCCATTATAAAAAAGTTTTATACTTACCTCTTCATCCAGCCGTCCAATTTAGATTAAATAAGCTATGACCATTCGATGTAGATTTGATGCTTCAGAGTACTTTGTTTTTAATTTTTATTTTTATAAATATAAAATTTGTTACATGTCATCATCTCAATTAGGCGCACTAAAAAATTATAAAAAACATTTTTAATGAAATAAAATGACCAAAATACCATAAAAGTTTTAGAGGTATTTTGGTCATTTTATTTTATCAAGAATATTTTTTTATATTTTGTAGATACAAGTTGAAGAGAGGAGTGGACACCCAAAATTTGGTATGAAAATGTTTTGTAAAAAATTTAAAATAAAATAGTGTAGAGGCGTAACCTTATAATTAAATCCCCCTCAACACGTCATTTAGATGTGACAACTAGATAAAAATAAATATATAACTATTATACATCAAGGAGAAGTATAGAAAGCTTGCCCTATTTATAATTCTAAAGGGAAAATTGTTTCATGCGGGCTGACCACATTTCTACATATGCGGTCCAGAAAGGGTAAAGAATCTATTTTAAATATGGATGCAAGTAAGAGTTCCATCTAAAAATAATAGAAACTAACAATCTAAATGTTTTCTTACTAGAATTATTATTTATAAGTTTTAAAATTTATTTATTTTTTCATATTCATGAACTATTACATGTCCTTAAAAATTTAGGGAAAAGTTTATATAGCGCTGAGGCTCTAAACAATCAAATTAGAGCCTACCTCAAAAATCTCAGTAGAAGAGGTTATTTTGACGCTCAAATATCCTCAAATTGATCATCTCGACATCAAAATGGATGGACATGAGAAAAAAATGGATTTCAAGTTTTGAAAATAGTTTGTAACGCATTTTTGGACCGTCAATTTTCAAGTTTTCATAGATTTGTCGATCTACATTATTTTTGAAGCTTTAAACTTTAAAAATAAAGGTGAAAATATATTTTAAGGCTATCACAAAGATTTCCACTATTTAAACCACATTTCTCAACACTATTTGGAGGTAGGCTCTAATTTGATTGTTTAGGGCCTAGGCTCTACACAAACCACACCCTAAAAATTAAGGGGTGCTGTTTGTATGGAGCATATGCTCTAAATAATCAAATTAGAGCTTACTTTCAAATAGTATAGAGAAATATAATTTCAATGCTGAAAATCTTTATGAGGACCTTACAATATATTTTTATTTTTATTTGTAAAGTTTAAAGCTTAAAAAATAGTGTAGATCGACATATCTATAAAAACTTGAAAATTGATGGTCTTAAAATGCATTACAAAATACACTATTTTCAAAACTTTAAATCCATTTTTTTCTCATGTCTATGCATCTTGATATCGAGATGATCAATTTGAGGATATTTAGGTATCAAAACAACCTCTTCTAGTGAAATTTTTTAGGTAGGCTTTAATTTGATTGTTTAGAGCCTCGATTTTATATAAACTTTTCTCAAAATTAAGTCTTAAAATCTATCTAAGAAATGGATTTATTAAGAGATCCGAATTTCTATAGACTTAGCCGCATAGAATCCAGGCCCTATTTAAAATTCTAGAATGATTTATTTTAGGGAAAATATCTTCATATTTTTTATTTTTAAGTTTTATTTCACAATAAACTCAAGGTTTTAAAAGATATTTTGGAGCATTAAAATTATAAATTTTGTTTCTTCTGACCCTTTAAACGAATTTAAATTTATATTTTTTAGGCTAAACAAATATAAAAAGACGATATTTTTTAAAAGCTATCCTCTCTAACTTTGAGAGAGAGAAAAGAGTTTCATAGAGGTGACAGGTTATACAGAGGAGAGATGAAAGTAGAGAGAGACGAGAGAGACATAAAAAAAAGAAAAAAAAAAGTTTGAAATATATAAATAAAGAGAGAAAAACGATTGAATTTAAAAATAACAAGTCTTTTTCATATTTATTTAAATTAAAAAATAAATATAAAATAATCTAAGAGTTAAAAATATTTTTTGAAACCTTAAAATTATCACGAAAAAAATATATAGATATTTTATCTTTATTTTATAGGTAACTTTCGGTAATATTTCCCATCCCCTCCAACTATCGATCCAAAAACCCAAACATCCACGTGGCAATGACTCTTGTGAACCACGTGGCACTATCTGGTGACCTTTCCAGACCCGGGCACGTCACCAGTTGCCTTTGGACTTGGCACGTGTCTCTATAAAGGGTTAACCTCTCAAAGTCTTGCCGTTGTTTTCTGAGAAAATAATGGAAACACCCAACGGAAAACAAGACGGAAATGGTGACGCCGCCGTCACGGAAGCACGGCCCGCCGTCCTCAAGCGGACGGAGTATGACGCCGTCCGCTCTAATGTCGCCGTCTTCTTCTGGTTGGGAGCCATCCACTGTAACGCCTTCTTAGTCTTAACGGCGTTTGCTCTCTTCCCAAGCTGGCGTTCGCTCCTGTACGTTAACTTTCCGTCTCCTCTCCGTTAACTGAACCTTCTTTCCTTTTGTGTTCATGAGAAAAAGGGGAATTTCCTTTTTTTTCATTTTTTTGGCGGCTGGAATTATTTATTTGTTACTGATGTTTAAGGATATTGGGGTTGCTGATTTTGCTAATGCTGATTCCTTTGGATGATAAGAGCAAATTGGGTCAGGACATAGCTAGGTATTACCCCATTTTTTGTTTTTTGTAATTTCAGTTTTTGCTCTTTTTTTTGATGAATTTATGATTTATTCTTGGTAAATATGTTTATGGATTATCTCTTTTTTAAAATAAATTTCTTATTTTTATTCTTGGTAAACTTATATTTATATATATATATATTTTTTTTGCAGGTTTGTGTGTAAATATGCATGTGGGTATTTCCCAGTAACTCTACATGTTGAGGATATGAAGGCTTTCAGCCCCAATAGAGCTTATGGTAAGTAACGTTGGTGTTCTTTTTCTTTCTTTTTTTGGGTAATTTGAAGCTCCAATTTGTTTTTTTTTTTCTTTTTGTTATTATATATCCTTTCTACTTTTTCTCAGCGCACTTGTTTATGGTTATTTTCTTGATTTGTGTAATTTTTTATTTTCTTCCAGTTACTGCATTTTACTTATTTGATGAGTTTATCTCCATTCCATTTACTCTTTTTTTTTTGTCTCTTTTTATTCTATTTTTTGGTTAATTTCACTAGGAACAGGTACTGGGACTTTGCTCACGCATGCCATTTACTTCTCTCTCTTTTTTTTCTTTTTTTTTATTCCTTTTCTTTTTTTTCATTGTCTCCTTTTTTTGGCTCTGAAAATTGATAGGTGTACTATATTAGCAATGTTCCATGTGTCTCCCTGTACAAATGATTTACGTGTATGTATGGAGAAATCTAGTCATCTTGATTGTATTGACTGCGAGTGATCGAACACTGTACCAGGTCGGCGTCAACTATGTTTGTCAAACCATAAGTAATGCGTGATATCGTTGTTGGCTCACTTCAAGAGACGTATAAGTTATATGTGGGAGGAGCCGCATAGAAAGATTTCCCCCTTAGAAAATGTTTGTCTTGTTGATCAAAAGTATAAAAAAGCTCTACGTGAAAAGCTTTTTCTTGTGTTAAGTGGTCATCCCTTTTGGCCCAAGTGAATCTAAATGACTGGATAGACGCCAAGCATGGTTCTTATTTGTAGCTGCCATTCAAGTTCAGACTTACTCTCCTACTGGTTAGCAAAAGCTTCAATTGTGATGTCTAACTTCAATCCACTGATTCCTTACTGTAATGGCCTCCACATCTTTCCTATAACTCTCTCCAATAATGGAGGTCGTGCAATTGGCCTAGGTTGGGTAAAGTGTCTGACAATTGCAGCACTGTTTCCCAAGTTCGAATACTACTGCTGAACTATTCGGAAAAGAAAGGAAGAAAGATGTTATATTTACTTAGAGAAAAAAAAAATAAAATGGAATGAGGCAGAATCTGATGCTTCACATCAAACCAAGATTTTATTCCAATTATTTCTTTCCCTTCATCCCTGCTGAAAATGTGCTTGCTGTTTGTGCCACCCATGGTTGTAGATCGAATAAGGGGCTGTCACCATCTATGACTTACTGATTGCAACAAAGATTTGGGATTTTGTGAGGCTAGTGACTTGACTATCTATTGAGGAGTTGGGCAGCTGTGTTGCCTTCTAGATAGGAAGCACTAGTAAGGGGAAAGGTTTTCGACTTTTGTTACCCAAAAGTCAGCAGAAAAGTTAATCTTTCAATGGTGGCCTAGTTTTTTAGATTCCCGGTAGGCACATGTCTTGGTTTCAAGGAGATTTGGTTATTGATGATTTTAATTTACATTTATGCTTAAAAAAGTATTATGAACACCAACAGTTAAAAAACAAATGAAAAAAAAGAAAAAAAAGAACTTTTAGTAGTGGTATATTTGAATGCATATTTTAAGACCCAAATGCATTATGTAGTGTGTGAGCTCGCATACACAGGTTTTCTATTTTTCTTTGTTATATGCACATGGAAATAATGTGAATGCTGTCATCATGACTAGCGATCATGTATTCAATGACATGATCAGAGATATTGAGGATTGTTGTTTCATCAGATATGGGTTAATTGATGTAAATATTACTCTTCAGTGCATTAGTTCAACAGGAGAAATTGCATGCTTGCTTACTAGTTTGTGAATGATATAGTAAACTACCAACAGTTTTCCTTATCAGCAGAGAATCCAGTTTGTGGGGATCGGGTAGTTAAAACATTAATATACTGAATCTGTGTGTATGTCTTATTTTGGCAAGTTGTTTTCTGCTTTGAAAGTTGTCTATTTTTATTGTACTTTTGATGCCCCTGCTGTTTGTGCTTAGGAAGTATGTGTATTTATGCACTGATAGTTACTGTGTTTTTGTGAATTCCTGCATAATTTTCCATAATTTCCTCAGGGTAGTAATTTTGAGTTTCTTATGCGTCTTTGCCTTTACAAAATTCTTCTGTGATCATCAATGCAACTACTCAAATAAAGTGTTCTTTGGTTTCTACTTGAGAGATATTAGTGCTTTTTTAGAGCTTATAGTCTTATACCCATCTGCCTTCATAATGTTTTCGAGTAAAATCAAAGCAACTCATTCCAGCGAAGAATGTTCATGCTCCAGATTGCTCGTTTAGGATTTCATGCATTTTGTAGTTTTACAATTTTATGTTTACAATTCCCTTAGTATTTCCAGGGAAGGCTTCCTCTCTTTGGAAGATAGAAATACTTGGTCTATCTTCTCTCATCTTGCTTTGATGATTATATGATATTCTCAGGCATCATCCAGATGAACCCATTCATAATTAATCATTCTTACTTCTTGGATATGACTGCCATTTTCATTAAAAATCCACTGAAACACCCTCTTTTTCAAGTAAATGTCCTTTTTAATGTATAGTTTCTTGGTAATCTCAAAATACACACAGTGGATGCTATGGCCCCCGTCCCTGGAATTTCTTACTCTATTTCATTTTGTTTTAACCATTTTGTTTTGTTTATTTATGCCTTTGATTGATCTGTAAACTGATTATTTATTTAAGCATTACTTTCCCAATTTGTTTTGGTGCAGTCTTTGCCGTTGAACCTCACTCAGTTCTTCCTATCGCCATTGTCTCCCTGTGCAACTTCACAGGGTTCATGCCTCTGCCTAAAATAAAGGCTCTTGCAAGCAGTGCGGTAAGCTTTGGTTCATGAGCTGAAAAAATATGCATTAACCCTTGGAAATGTACTCCTTAAACAACTTTTAAGGGATATGATCACAGCTTTGGTATCCAGTATCCATTCTCAATAATAGATGATGGAGTTTATCTGTGGCTCCTGATAAGTGACATCAATGGATAGTTTCAACAGTCTATTATTTAGAATGGATGGTGGATACACTGCCTATGTGCTTTGGAAGATATACTCCCAAACTTTAATCATGAGAACCAGAGAAAAAATACCACAATCCATTTGATTATTGAAAAGCTATGACTGTTATCACCGTCCAATCGATTAATGGTGGAGATACGGTGTGAGCTGCCTCGTGGGTCATGTTGTCTTGTTATGATTCACTCTCTCTCTCCATTACAGTACACCAAGCAATGGGACGGTGATAACACTTAATGGCCGCTGGTTTTATGTAATGATATGGATCATGTTGTGCTTTCCCTTTCATCTTCTGGAGAGCGTTTTCTTGGTTATGATTTTTGTGTCTTTTGTTTCTTTTGTCTTGTGTTTCCCTTTCCTTTTTTACTTCATGATCAAATAAGGACATTGGTTTTCATTATTTTTGGTTAGATATTTTACACACCAATTCTTCGTCATATTTGGACATGGATGGGACTTGTTGCTGCTACAAAGAAGAACTTTGTTTCATACTTGAGAGATGGCTACAGTTGCATTGTCATTCCTGGCGGGGCTCGCGAGATAATGTATATGGAGAAGGGATCTGAGGTTGGTAATGAAGATTCATTGAATTTGCATGGCTATGTTTTCTTGATATGAACAATTGATACTCGATTTCTGCCTACGCTGAAAAATAAAGGATTAATCATTAAGGTCCAGAGCTCGAGTCAGCTGGCTCTATGACTCGGGCAAGTCTCAATAGGACTCGTCCGAGTCTCAGTGACTAAAAGATAGTAGGGTTTAGGACCCAGTGAGTTCTGAGTTTTGGAAGTGGACCCGGCACCTTAACGTGTCCAAGTAACTTGGGCAAATCCGAGCATGAGTCACTGAGTTGGAGAACACTGATTATACGCACATTTCTAAACTAATTAACATAATATTGACGGTTTCTTAATTAACATTCTTTGCTTACCTTAGGTGGCCTATCTCAAGGCAAGGACTGGATTCGTTCGTGTTGCCATGGACATGGGTAGCCCTTTAGTCCCTGTATTTTGCTTTGGTCAGGTAAAAATTGCATGTCTATATACTGTTACACAATACATTCAGGTATGGTCATACATATAGTCAACAAAAAAGTACTTATTTATGCAAATGTACAAACATACACATATATGTACCTATAATTCAGTGATAGGAATCAAACTTTAAATGGATTGCTGCGATTCTCAACAACTAACCCATCGAGTGCAGGCCCGACATAACATAAATATACACACGCATGCATAAGTTGAAATATGAATGCATGCGCATGTATATTTGCATCATCATCATCATCATAGCCTCTTCCCCATTAATTGGGGTGGGCATGTAGCTATGTCTGCATGCATCTTTTTTTTTCTTCTTTTTCTTTTTCCCCCCTCTGGCTAAGTTTGTCAGCATAATTACTTGATTGTTCTGAATTTCAGCTGATTATTATCTATTTTGCAAGGGCACAGAGTGATATATATAGTTGGTGGAAAGGGAAAGGGGACTTATATGTCCGAGTAACTAAAGCACTCCGCTTCACTCCTCTTGTATTTTGGGGGCGGTTTGGGTATTTCCTACACCCCTTTTCTTACCATTATTTGAAGAGGTGCTTAGTGCGCGAATTTGTATATCTCGAGACTCGTAGCCATCACATCTTGATTGGACAACAGTGAGTGGGACGAGAACAATATCATAAGCTGACTCTTGCCATGTTCGTCAGCCATTATTAATGCGTAATATTGTTGTGTGCTGGCTTGACTGTCCAATCAAGATTGGATAACTAGATCATATGTATATCAGCCTTTTGGTAAATCTTCAAGAATAATGATCTTTTCCAACATATTGTTTCTCCACTCTAGACCCTCTTACTAGTTTAAGTTCTCGTCTTTGTTTTATATTTTCAGAGATGAATTGTTGTCCCTCTCTCTCTCTCTCTCTCAAGAAATTGCTTATTATTTTGTGCTCTCTTTCTCTCTCTCTCTCAAGAAATCGCTCATTATTTTGTGCAGGCCTATCCCGTATCGTCGACCAATGCATGTTGTAGTAGGGAGACCAATTGAAGTGAATAGAAATCACCAGCCTACCAAAGAAGAGGTGGGGTGCATTCTTTGTTGATTTACTGGTCACTTGAGGAAATGAAAGAGTTTGTATAGGGTTGCAACTTTAATAAAATGTAGAATTAAGCTGCACATCAAAAATCCATCATAAAAGATTGTTTTGATGTTGGAAAGCCCTCTAATTGATCATCTAGAAATCAAGATGTACGAATATGGAAAAAAAAAGAGATTTCGAGTCCCAAAAATAACGTATCTTGCAACATATTATTTAGACCGTCCATTTTGAAGATTTTCGAAGTGTTTATAGATCTACTTGATTGAACTATTTTTGGAGTTTAAGATTTTACAATTAGAGATGAAAATAGATTTCTCAAGCCATCTTAATAATTTTTGACACCAAAATTATATTTACGATCAAACTTGGAGGTGCACCTTAATTTGATTGTTTAAAATTGCAACGTTATACAAACCGCACCTTTTGAAGAATAGGTTCGAATGCACCATTGACTTTGAATTTTGTTTCAGGTTGCTGAAGTTCATCAGAAATATACGGAGGCTCTTAGAGAGCTTTTTGAGAGGCATAAAGCTGAAGCCGGGTATGCTGAATATCAGCTGAGAATACTGTGATAGAAGCACATGTTGCTCTCTTTATGATGTCATTTGTTATCTAGCAGGAAATTTTTATTGTACTGGTTCAAACTAGGTTTCAAATCAGTGAATGGAAGCCTCTCTCTGTGTTATATGGTAGGAATTCTCATTATATGATTTCTATATGCACACACAAAAGCTTAGAACTCTTTTGATGAAAGGAAAACTGATTTGAGAGAGTATATGTTTTGACCTAAGAGTAAATGTTTCAATCCAAGTCTAGAATCCAGATTGGTAAATCATCTTCCCTCTTTCTCTCGGAAGGGTTTACAATATTCTTCAAGTGGTCAAATCAACTAGTTTAGCACGGGAGGAGTAATTATGAAATTATAATTATTTAGGCACTTAGAAATATTTTCAAAGTGTTTAAATTGGTCCTTTCCATATGGAACCCTGCAAGGATGTACAAGTAAGAGCTTTTGGTAGGTTGGTTCTATTCAAGTGGTGTCAAGTGAACTGATATAAATATACTTGTTTGTTGTGGGTAAAATTTTTATTATGGAATTAATTTTTTTCCTGTCCATGAATATAGAAGTACAATAGTCATTTAACTTGAATTATATTTTCCCGGGCCAAACCCCCACTGACTTACCGCTTTATTTACCCAAAAAATAAAATAGCTCTAGCAAGATATTGACTTTACCTATGCATGTTGAGGGCTGGAAGTTTGGAATTTCAATTTTTTTTTTCACCGGAAATCTTTATTCTAGGTTTCTGACCATAAATGATCAAGGCCTTAGGGGTGGCAACCGTCGGGTCAGGTCTAGCAGGACTTGGACCCGATCGGACCCGACTAAAAAAATTAAAATATCTATGTATTTAATTATATTTAAATATATTTCATATATTGGGACTCAAAAAATATTACTGGACCTAGGTCCAAACCCAAATAGTGATCTTGGACTCAGATTGACCCGTTAGGTCCAATTTTTGGACCCATACTTGGATGTGAATTGGGTCTACCTGGGTTGGGTCCAAGTCCATTGCCACCGCTATCAAAGGTTAAGTGAGGTTAAATTGTCAATAATAGTCTGGCAATTTAAAACAAAATTATGTGGGATGTACATATCTAAAGGGCACCCTACCAAAATTTTAATACTGAAAGCGCACTCTTTAGTTTGGCTTTTCGAGTGCCCGAACTCATTTTTTTTAAACAAAGTACATGTATATCATGCTTCCACAATTGCGAAAGACCTCCCTAGGATGATTCTTTGGATCTACCTAAAAATCATCGGATAATTATTTTTTGAAAAATGGAATTGGATTTTGACTTTTTAACGATTTAGATCTAACCAACCAAAATTTGGACAATCTGTGTTCAATTTTAAGATTGATGTTTTTTGGGTGAAGTTTGTATAAGGTTGAGGATTTAAACAATCAAAGTAAGGCGCATTTCTAAATGATGTCGAAATATTCTTTTTCAATGCTTGGAATCCCATGGTCTAAAAGTTTGCTTTCATCTTGATTTTGACATTGAAAATCTTCAAAGATGATGTAGATCGAGTAGATCTACGAACATTTCAAAATCTTGAAGATAACACATTATGTACCATTTCAAGAACTGGAAATCTTTTTTGAGATTGTCATGATCAATTGTAAGGTTTTTGGGCATCTAACAGCCTTCTCAAGTGAGGTTTTGAGGTGGACTTTACTTCTTTAGTATAAGGTTGCAACTTTAAATAATTTTTTTTTCTATTTTATACAAATAGAATTGAAAAAAAAAATATTTATAAGATGGTTGACGACGTCACATCCCAATGGGAAAAGAAAACTTAGCAAAATCATGTAAATACATTGGTCCATATATCATCATCATAATCAAAGGCTTTTCTCAACGGCTACACGAATTATGGTCCACCATTATGCTCCATCAAGGGCTATATAATTTGCCATATTACTTCTCATTACATCTAACCATGTCTTTTTGTGTCTACTCCTTGCCATTTTTGAGTTTTCTGCTTGAACTAATTTGTACATTATAATTGGTGTTGTACTGGATTTGTACTACACATACAATGATTGATATATATATATATATTATTGAGGGGTTTATAATTAATGACTAGTCGTGGAACTCCTCGTTCTTGTTCGGCATTTTTATTGACATAAAAAGCAGAGCAGCTCCATGGAGATGAATTGGGAAGTATGAGTTTCTTAAGAAGTAAATCTTTAATTTCATTATGACATGTTTGTAATAATTCCGTATTCATCTGAATAGGTCGAGCTTTTGTTGGTATTTTTGTTTCACTAAAATTTGGTTCATATGGTAATCCAACAATATGTTGTTTTCTATGTCAAAAAGCGGTTGGTAGATCATTACATATTTCGTTTTCAATAAAACTTTTGAGTTGTATTTTTTGTATCATATTATTAGTTTGGAGTTTTTCACTGATAATCTTATGTTTGATTTCAAGTTGTAACGATCCTATAAAATCTTCTTTTTGTTTGACAATATTAATTTCTTTGATTTTTGGTTTATCAAGGAATTCAAATTTAATAGGGGTACCATGGGTATTTGTTTCAATACCTGTATGGGAAATAGTAATTGGATATAACAGAGTGAGGAAATGTATACCAAGGATTACAACCTGACTGAGTCCCTTGACCATAATAAATGGAGTAGGAAAACAATGTCCCTCATTATAAATTTTAGCATTAGATAACTTGTATTTAATAAATAGTCTACTTCCATTCGCAGTATTAAGGATTTGGGTAGGTTTATCAAAGTATTTTGTAGGGACTAATCCTTCATTGAGGCAATTCAGATCAGCACCTGAATCAATTAAAGCTAGAGATTGAAATTCATATTCATCATTTATGACAATGGTTACTAAGACAAACCATTTTTGTGTGATTACTCTATTTAAGACATTTACTGATTTCTTGGTAGATGATTCGCATTGATTTATATAATCATTGGGATGATATGATTTAAGTAAGTGGTCAAATTCAATGATATCTGTGTCAGTGTCTATTTCGGAGGTTTTGTTATGGAGTTCAAGGATTTGAATTCTATTTTTTAATTGGGTTACTTTTACCTTGACTATATTTACTTCGGCTTTGAGTTCAGCAATAGTAGGTTCTTTTTGTGTGGCTTCATGCTGACTGATACGTTTCATTATATCAGAAAAATTATAATTATCAGGAGGTTTGACTAATGGCATATGTTTTGTTTTTGTTTTAGTTAAATTAATAAACTGAGTAATTATTTCTCTTTTTTCATCAGGATCAGAAATTTTCTCTATTAGGTCTAAAATAAGATTGTCTTCTTTTGTTAGCGTATGGATATCAGAAGTTGTAATAGGACGTTTACATATTTCTTCATCAGAACTACTATTCGTGGACCAATAGAAATCATCATTATGTATAGTGCCTATAAAAGAACTATCACTACTCGTTATAGTAGAGTCCGTATCTGAGCTAGATGAATCATATATTTGAATAATGTCATATATTTTATTTCTGATATTTTCATCTAGTGTAATAGAGTCTAATTTTTGTTTGACTTTGCATTGGCTTTTATAATGGCCAACTTTTCCACACTTATAGCAAACATGTAATTTCTTACTATTTTGTTGAAATTTTTTAGCTGTAAAACATTTAGTAAATTTCCTATATTTTTTATGTTTGGTTGGAAAAGACTTATGTGTTTTTTTAGGTTTATTAATGCGATGTTTTTTCTTTTTATATATTTTATGTATTTTATGTGGTTTGTTTTTATCAATATGATAGCCAAATTGTTGGCAGAAGTCTCCTAACTCTTTTTTACCACTTATGTTTTGTTTATCAAGTTGCTTTTTAAGTTTCATATCTGTGCATAGGGCTAAGCCTTCAGCACATATTTCAGAGGATAATTCTCCTAAAGTATATCGAGCGTAATTGATTACACCACTATTTTTATTTTTCAGACGTTCTTTGACCTGGTAATCCTGCTACGAACTTTTCTTTCTAGTGGTCAACATGAATATCTTCTCGTATAAGTAAACGAGAGAAAAAGACGTCTTTATACCATTTGTAGTGAGATAATGTGGGACAACGTAAATTGGATAAAAGATCAGCAGTTCGAGCTGAAAGTATTGAAGTATTTCCTATGAAATGAAGAGCAATTGTATAAATCAGTGAATTGACAACATCACTTTCAGAATATACCATATCCTGGTTGTGTTCATTTTTTGCTGTCCATTGGCGAGTATTTGTTAATATTTGTTGATTTGTTTGTTCATTGAGATAAGAATCCCACCATCCTCTTAGCCAGCCAGTAAATCTTGAAACTATGGCTTTTGCTATTTCCTGATCATGGTTACCAGCCATTTTACATGCCAAAGCATACATAGTCATATGTTTCATTGTATCTAATATTCGGTGATCGAAAATTCCATCAATGTTCCAATCTATAATAGTTCGACCAGTATATGTAGAAGTATGACTTGTAAGGTATTCTTCTAATTGTATATCAACTGGGGTTGGTCTCTTGTAATATGGTCGGGCATTTATTGGTTGCCAATTCTTATTATAATTGATTCGATTTATCGTATCTGGGGAAATATGATGTTCAGAAAATGCTTTTTGCATATTTGATATTGTGTTGGCAATTGATGGTTCGATATTTTCATTTTCTTGAAACATTATTTCTTCTTGAAGAGTCATATTATCACGTTCAGGGATTTTTGTTTTCCCTTTATCGTTGTCTGGTATAATAATATTTTCTTTAGGTTTGGAATCTTTTATTTATAATTTGGATAATTTGGAAATTAATTGGTCCATTAGTGTTTTATTATCGTCACCTATATGAAATTTTTCTTTATTTAATTCAGGAGGAGGTTTAAAGAATAATTGTTTCTTTTCTTTATATGTGGGAGGATGTAATAAGTTTTCTATTCTAATGGTTTGTTGTCCAATAATGTAAAGATAGAGATTTGTATAATTGTTTTGTTCAATTATGTGTGAGAGTAATTCCATACGAGCTAAATTTGCGTTATTTAATTTGTATGGTGTAGCTATTGTTTCGTATACAATCATTTGGGTTGAGGATCCTATATGATGCTCTGTGTTTGATCCTGTTGTGGTGGATCCAGTAACTGTTTCAGCCATTCCTTGTATTTTCAGACTTTGTTCAGGAGGATGTATGGCTTTAATTGTGTTTCCTTCAGTAGTATTGAATAATATATACTGAGTTTCTAGT